ATATTAGAAATCATGGGCCACATGAATATTTATCACTATGTTACTAACACTAATATAAAAATGCCATAATAACTCACGTTTTCAATATATTGTTATTATTATTACCAATAATTGTATTGTACTAAAGAGGGTAGGTTCCACAAGTAAACAGAAAGGTATTAATTAATTAATTTCAACATATATTGTGCGGGATCCAGAGGAGTTTTTATGTCGAGTCTAAACATCATATTAGTAGTAATAATAAGATAAGATATGATATCTGAGTCAAGTGTTTTTGCAGAAGGCACGTGCCTACTCAATAATATATCACTCTACACTCACCTGACTTGATGTTTTGATTTTTGACTATGATTTCATTAATCATTAGTAGAGTAAAGCATGGTGGTCTTCAACTACTATTGTTGCCGAACCAAGTGTACTAACTAATTAACTACGAGTTGAACACTCTCTATAATATTATATAGACTTGGAACTCATTTCAAATACATGATGGAGAGGGTAGATAGGTAGGCTTTGAACCTCATTACTGTATCTATAAAAAAAAATTTATAGACAAGAAAATACATAATAGGTAAGTTTTTCTTTGATTTCAAGAAAATTAATAGGAAATCTTTTCCTTATGTTCACCCATGCAAGAGCTATTGTGCATGCACTACAACAAAATTTAATATTACTAACAATTATTTAATAACAATAAATTAATTGCATTTATTTTATTATTTAATAAAAATATTAATGAATATTATATAATGGCCACTAAAAATATATTTACATCACATCAAAATTTACTATTAACGATAATTATTTGTTAGAAAAAACTTAAATCTTACATCGACTAGAAATAAAATAATTAAAGAGTATATAAATGAACGATAACTCTCACCTTACAAGTATGTTTTATAAGGTTGAGTTAGGCCTATAACTTACTATTCTAAATTGGTATTTAGGAGATAAGATAATTAAAAAAAATTAAAGAATATATACTTAAAAGATAACCTTCATCTTCTAAGTCTCACATCAATTAGAAATAAGGTAATTAAAGAGTATTTGTACTCATCTTACAAGTCTTACATCGACTAGAAATAAGATAATTAAAGAGTATTATAATTTTTTTCTTAAACTTTTAGCAGCAATTTTAAATGCCAGTAACAAATGACACAAAAAGTTATACATTTTTCCCAATCATTATGAGGGTCTTTACCAGTATATAGAATAATTGTCGGTAAATATTTTTAGCGATTTGTGGTGTATGTTTGTGTAATAACCTTATAAAAATATTTCATAAAATATCCTCTCAGATAAATACCATAAAAATAACCTCATCACTTTATGATAAGGCTTCCCTCTGGATGACATTCTCAACTAAGGATGTACCGATAAAAAAATAATTCTACTTTATAATAAAGACTTCCCTACCGAGGTCAGATGTAGTTAAGGATGTGCCGATAAAACAATAATTCTACTTTACAATAAAGACTTTCCTTCCGAGGTCACATGTAGCTAAGGAAATGCCTTAAAGTTCAACAAAATTCTTTAGAATAAAAGTGTTTTTTTCGAGAGCATCCTCAATTTAGGATGCATTTTTATAAAAATCAATAAGATACATTTGGTAAAAAAAATACTCTTGGTCAAAAACTTATAATAAAATATTTATGATTACTACTTATTTTAATTTAGAAAAATTTTATGCAAATACTTTTTTAAGTAAACACAAACTACTTGGTCGTTGTATACCTTGATTACACTCTCAACTAAGGATGTGCTTATAAAACAATGATTCTATTTTATAATAAGACTTCACTCCCGAGGACACAGTCGACTAAGGATGTGGCGATAAAACAAGAATTCTACTTTACAATATAGACTTCCCTCCCAAGGTCACATGTAGCTAAGGATATGCCTTAAAAGTTCAACAAAACTCCTTAAAATAAGTGTTTTTCGCAAGAGAGTCCTCAATTAAGGACGTGTTTTTATGCAAATCAAGAAGATATGTTTGGTAAAAAAAAAATACACTTGGCCAAAACCATATAATAAAATGTTTATGATTACAACCTATTTAACTTCGAAAAATTTTGTGCAAATATTTTTTTAAGTTACTACTTGGTCATTGTATACCTTGATTACACTCTCAACTAAGGATGTGCCTATAAAACAATGATGCTATTTTACGATAAGACTTCACTCATAAGGACACACTCAACTAAGGATGTGCGATAAAACAATAATTCTACTTTACAATAAAGACTTCCCTCTCGAGGTCACATGTAGCTAAAGATATGCCTTAAAAGTTCAACAAAACTCCTTAAAATAAAAGTATTTTTCCCGAGAGCATCCTCAATGAAAGATGTGTTTTTTTGAAAATCAAGAAGACACATTTGGTAAAAAAATAATACACTTGGCTAAAACCATATAATAAAATGTTTATGATTATTACTACTTATTTTAATTTATAAAAAATTTGTGCAAATATTTTTTTATGTAAAGAAAATTACTACTTGGTCGTTGTATACCTTGATTACACTCTCAACTAAGGATATGCCTATAAAACAATGATTCTATTTTACAATAAGGCTTCACTCTTGGGGACACACTCAACTAAGGATGTGCCAATAAAACAACAATTTTACTTTATAATAAAAACTTCCCTCCCAAGGTCACATGTAGCTAAGGATATGCCTTAAAAATTCAACAAAATTCCTTAACATAAAAGTATTTTTTTCCAGAGCATCCTCAATTAAGGATGTGATTTTATGAAAATCAAGAAGACTTCTTTAGTAAAAAAAAAATACACTTGGTCAAAACATATAATAAAATGTTTATGATTATTACTTATTTTAACTTAAAAAAATTGCATTGTGTGCAAATATTTTTTTAAGTAAAGACGATTACTACTTGATCATTGTATACCTTAATTACAATTTTAACTTAGAAAATTTTGTTCATAGATTTTTTAAGAAAGATTACTACTCGGTTGGTGTATAACTTGTTTACAATTGTAACTTGGGGAATTTTGTACAAGATATTTTAAATAAGGGTAGTTATTATTCAATTGTTGTAAACAAGTGATAATATAAAATAATTAGAATATAAAAAAGCATTCTTTCATTCAAGAAAAGTTATAAGGTACATGATTAAAAGGCACTATATATCGGCCATGAGAATAACAAGTAAATGATCAAGCGGCGGAAAGTACCCTCATGGTCATGGTGCTCAGGACTATCTTCATGATTAACCATTTCTACAGTTTCTTTGGTTGGAGGCAAGGTTTTTTGAGGAGAAGATGGAACAACATCTTTGGTTGTAGCCTCATCAGGAATATCATCCAAGTCAAGATACTTTGTCTTTGAGTGAAGATACTTCGTCTTGTAAAAATCCTTTCCAAAGGTCAAACTCGAAATTTGGGGGAAACTTCTAAGAAGTGCATGACTTGAAGAATGACATGCATGAAACCATTCTCATGTTCATTAAAAATTTTGTGGCGATTTCTCTTTTTAGCTTCACACGTATGAGTGTTTTTACGAGGACATGTTTTAATTTAAATAACAACTAACTTTTAAAAACTGTTTTTGATTGATTTCTTTTATTGATTTTTGTAACTACTTAAAAACTTCAAATATTTCGTATCATGTTGCTCTGTCTTGGTCATGGTCATATCATGGCAGTGTTTGAAATTCTTGGTTTATTTCTTTTTCAACCTGGTCCTAGTTTATTTGAAATTACAAGTTAAACTGGCTAGTTGCCATGAATGTTTTTATTTTGTGTAGCATTAATATTGAAATATTGCTTAAGAAAATGTCATCGCAGTTGCTTTCTCACATACTACTGCTTCGTAATATGTTTTGCTAGGCCATACACCCCCTATTGTTCACCAAAAAAAAAAAGAACAAAAAAAATAAAAAGTAAATTGTTATGAATTATCTCTACTAATACTATACTATAATTTGTGTTGTGTATGCTAATCAAATGTGCGTATTTGTAAAGTATCAGTGTCTTTAAGGAAATGTAATAAAAATATAATATAGTTGCGTAAAATGTAAAAATTGTCTTCTTTCTTTGTTAATGGATGATTTCAATAAAGAAATAAAGAAATGAGATTGATATTATTTTTATTTATAGATAATAAGAAGTAGTTTATAATGTTTTACTTACTTTATTTAATAATATTCAAGAAATATGTTCTTAATTTCGATTTGTATAATTGTAATTATTTATTATAATTTATGAATCTTTATACCTATATATTATATAATTGAAGGATATAATCTCATTTAAGCTATATAAAATCATATGAATGTCAAAATTCTTTTTTTTTTTAGTATTTAATGTAATTGTCTATCATCTCAATTCTTGAATTTGAATTTGGAATATGTAATCATGTAATTGTGTTAAATCATCAAAATAATAGCTTTGTCATTTATAATAGTTCTGCTCGATTCCAAAATAATATCTCTAATAAAAAATATACATGTTCCTTAAAAAAAAATATATATCTTACATTATAATATTCTATCTATTTTTTTATGATCATAATTTCTTAGTGGGTACATATCATATCATATATTCTTGTAAATATCTTATTATACAAATTAGTGTTAATTTGAAAGAAAAGAATTATTTAACATAATTACACATAAGAAAAGTACTTGTAAAAAAATGTGTTAATTAATATAATAATGTGATTCTATTTTTATTACTCCTAATTGGTTCAAAATCAGTCAAGTTTCCTTTTATTACTTCTAATTCCCTCAAATGTTCAAGAAAAAAGATTAATAATGGATTATGTATATATCAATCAGAGAAATTAATTAAGTTAGGATACTTATGGTTGTTGGTTAAACAATAAACTATATAAAGAGACGAATGAAAGAAAAGAAAAAGAGCGTGTAGCGTGAATAATGGATTAGTCATCTAACACGCATTATTTGAAGTCTCTGGTTTTCTTGTTAACATTAATTATTATTTGATTGTAACATATTAAAATTATTAGGAGGGAGACTTTACCATTGAATTGTGATTAGCATAGTGGTAGCAAGACTATGGCGTCTTCTTCGAACCCACCATGCGCAGCGTGCAAGTTCTTGCGGAGAAAGTGCCAAGCGGAGTGTGTTTTCGCGCCCTACTTCCCTCCCGACCAGCCTCAGAAGTTTGTGAACGTTCACAGAATCTTCGGAGCCAGCAACGTCTCCAAGCTCCTCAACGAGTTGCATCCTCGTCAGCGCGAGGATGCTGTCAACTCTCTGGCCTACGAAGCCGAGATGCGCCTCCGAGATCCTGTCCAAGGCTGTGTCGGAGTCATCTCGCTTCTTCACCAGCAGCTTCGTCAGCTCCAAATTGATCTTCAAAAGGCCAAGTTTGAGCTGGCGAAGATTCAAAACTTGGGAGTGACCACTAAATATGGTCACTCTACTGCAGTTACCATGACCGTTGGTATTAACGGACATGATAACCGCTATTATGATCAACGACAAAGCTACCTTCAGTGTTTGCCACAACAGTTCGTTAGGAACTTTGATGCAGCAGGGAACAACTATGAGGATAATGTGTTGGCCATGAACATTGCTAGTTTTGGCGCGCAGTTGAGTCAACTTCAGCAGCCTAATGTTGTTGCTCGTGATGACCCTCACACTAGGGTTCATCCCTCTTAGGGTTTACATGTAGGATAACACACAATGTAATAGGTAATTATTACTAATTAGTTATGTTTTTTTTTCTACAATAATTCGTTGCATTGTGTTTGTCATTTATATATATATTGTATAAATATAAATATATGGACACGTAATGTTTGGGAGTTTTTCCTCTGTACATCATATGGCACTTTTTCTTGTATATTGCTTTTCATATAGTAAGTATCAATCTAGATTTTGAAATGTCAATTTAATGATTAATTTTGATATTAATGTGATAAAATTCTTTACCACATATATTAAGAACTTCTACATATTTTGATAGTTTTTTTCAACGGTTTTACATTTTTTTAATTCTATTTTTATTCTGACTTGTCTAAGATATTTGACACAACATAATTAAAGAATTTTGTTATTATTAAAAATTTTAGCAGTGAGAAGTTGGCTAATGGAAATCTCTCTTTCCGAATCTTTAACAAATTAATCAATATTATCCATCATAATGTTTCAAATAATAATGCATACCATTATTTCAAAATTTTTGTTATAGACTCTCTATTCTTAATTTTTTCGGTAATATAAAAAAGATTAAAAAAAGTAAGCTAAAATTTTATATTTTGAAAATAAAAATTAAATATATTTATAACTTTGAAAAACAATTTCAGACACTGGATTATGAGTGCGGTAGATGGAGTTAATAAAGCAACTGAAGGTGGTCCATTTCCCTATTGTTAATCATTAGTAAAGGTGGGATTTTGAATCTGCCAATAAAACATGCATTCTACGGATCCAGAGATGAAGCTTAAGTCTGAAAACTATTACAGTATCATAAAATAAAGGTTAAAAATCTATTTTGGTCCCTTATAATTTTTTTTTGTTTTAATTTAGTCCTTCATTAATTTTTGGTCTCAATTTGGTCCCAAATTAATTAATTGGTTTCAATTTAGTCCCAAATTAATTAATTGGTTTCAATATGGGACTTTCCGTCCAAATTACTTTAACGGTGTTAACTTTTGGCTACGTGGACGCCACGTAGATGCATACGTGGATGCCACGTGGATGAGAATTTTTTTGAAAACACTTGGACCTAGAACGGCCCGTTCTGAAACCGGAACGGGCCGTTCTAGGTGCACTTTTGGTGTGTTAATTTTGCATCCGGAACGGCCCGTTCCAGGTGCAAAATTAACACACCCAAAATGCAACCAGAACGGCC